AGTCCAATGGGAGCAGCTGGGGCTGCTTGTGGAAGTGGCTCCTGCCTCTGCTCCTCCCCCGAACCACGTCTAGGCAGCCTCCCAGAAGCCCCAAGGAGGGTGGAATCCGTGGGGCACGGTGGGCAGGCCGGCTCTGTCTTCTCTGTCCCTGGGGCACTCCTGCCTCCCGCCCGTCTCTCGGCCATGCACCGCTGCACCAGGTGCCTCACGCTGAGTGAGCACCTACTGCATCCGGAGCTGGAGGAGCTCTGGGTACTGCTGCTCTACCATCTGGCCTCCTGCAGCTGCGCTCTCTCTGCCTCCCTTAAATCCACTCCCCAAGCAGCAGCAGAAACAGCTTTTAAAAGGCCACTCCCCTGTTTCAAACTCCTCAGCGGATCCCCTTAACCGTGGCCTGCCTGCGGTGTCTCCCTGGCTTCCATCCCCTAACTTTCCGGCTTCCTCTCTCACCACCAACCTTGTTCCCTGCACTTGAACCAATTTCCTGACTGCACCCTGATCCGGACACTTAGCAGCTGCGGTTCCCTGTGTCTGGAGCGGTTCTCTGCTGTCCTCCCTCCGCCCACCACGCCCTGCTCCTCTGTGTGTTCCCTCCCCCGCAAAGCGATCTTTTCTGGGTACTTCTGAGCCCCTCCTCCCCCACTTCCTGGCTGTTTTTCTTTTCCTCGCACACACGCACAATCAGTAACGCTGGGTTCTGAGAGCTGTGCGTGCTTTCGGGCGGGGTAGGCTACAGTCTGCCGCAGTGACCACCGTCCCCAGGTCCAGGGGGTCTGAATCGGCTGAGGTGTCCGTCATTCTGCTCATCTTCCATGTCCGTCACCGTCTGCTCATCACTGTCATGTAGGCAGATGGGCGGCTGCCATCCTGGGCGTTTCTGGTTGCTGTGCCGGAGTGAAGAGAGGGCTCTGGAGACTTGTGCGTTGGCATTTAAGTGCTGGGGCCAGAAGTAGCCTCGCAGGCCCGCCCACCGCCACCGGGGAAGCAGCACCAGCCACAGCCTCGCAGACTGGCTGAGCTCGGACTCGTAACTCGGAGACGCTCTGGTTTTCGCCTTCTAACCTCTCCTGCCTTCTCGAACCTCACGCTGTTCTTCCCTCTCAGCTTCAGTCTCCTCCATCGTCACTGAAACACGCTCACGTCATTCCCACCTGAAAAATAAACACAGTGCTCTTGACCTACCTCCACCTACATTTTCTCCATTTCCTTACCCCTGCTTCTCGCCTTCCCTACCCCAGTGTGGAGTGGGCTCACTCAGGCCTCTGGAATGGTTCCTTTAGCGTGGTGGTCCTCCATCTTGGCCTCATGTTTAAAAAACAAAACATAACAGTAGCCCAACAAAACCTGCACCCAGGCTCACCGCAGGGATTGTGATTTAATGGACGTGCGTGGGCCCGGGCATCCGGCACTTTCCAGAGCTTCCTGGGTGCTCCCAGTGGGCAGTCGGGGTGAGAACCACGCCTCCTGGTGCCCCGTGTCCTGGGTCCCGGGACACGTTTCTGCTCCCCTGCTCCTCGGCCTCTGGCAGGACTCGGCTGTATGAGTTTCCTGTGGCTGCTGTGACAAATACCACATGCTGGGTAACTTAAAACAGCAGAAGTTCATTGTTTCACAGTCCCCGAGGCCAGAAGTCCAAAACCAATGTCTCAGCAGGGCCATACACGCTCCGGGGGCTCCAGGGGTAGGAGAATCCATCCCTTGCCCTCCTCCAGCTTCCGGTGGCCCCAGACGCTTCTTGGCTTGTGGCCCTGTGGCTCCCATCTGCCTCTGTGGTCACGTTGCTGCTTCCTCTTGGGTGAGTTTCTCAAAACACTTTGTCTTTTCATAAGGAGACAGGTGGCTGCAGCAGGGGCCGTCCAGGGAATCTAGGATGAGCCCCTTCTTTCAAGGCTTTTAATAATCACACTTTGCCGTCTAAGGCAACTCAGGTCCTGGGGATGAGGACACAGACATGTTTTGGGGGGACTACCATTCAGCCCTCTACTCCAACCAGGTGGACCACCCCTCTGCCCTGAAATCTGGTCGCCCCTTGCCTTCCGAACCCCACACTCCCATTTCCCTCCCACTTCTCGGGGGCTCTTCTCCAAGCCCACCCCCTTCTGTGAAGCCCGTGAGTGCCGGTGCTTGCCAAGGCTTCACCTGGGCCCTGTCCTCCACGCTGTCCCCCCGGGGACCTCACTCAAGACCACAGCTCTGGTTACCTCAGTTCCTTCCAACATCTCCAGCCTCCATCTCTGAGAACTCCAGGCCCTCATGTCCACAGGCTCCGTCCATTTGTACTCAGAAATCTCAAAGATGCCCCAGTCTAATGTGACAAAGATCAAATGGCTCACACCTGTCTCCCCACACTTCCGCCCCTCCTCATCCCCTTTCTTCCGGAGCTCTCCATCTCAGAGCGTGGGAATCACCTCCCACCCCATAGGGGCCAACCTGGAGCATTATCCTTGATGTCTCTCTCTGTCCACCTGCTTTCCCACATCCGCCTCGTCTCCCTGGTCCAAGGCATCACCTCTCATGCACTGGACTGCAGTAGCCTCTAACCGGTCCTGCTGCAGGTTTTCCTCCCCCTGCAGCCAGTCTCAAGCTCTGCGTGGCTTCTCTGTGCTCTCAGGTTAAACCCGTCTCTTTCTGGTGGCCCGGTGGCCCTGCAGCCTCTGCAGTCCCACAAATACTGCCCCCCACCCCGCCTTGGCACCATGCTGTGGTTCCTCTCATGTGTGCACCATGCTCTCTCTCACCACACGGCCTTTCTTGCGGCCTGGAATGTTCTTCCCATCCTCCTCCTCACTTGGTTCTTCATCTGTCAGGTCTTAGCTCAAGACCTGCTTTCTCTGGGAAGCCGTTGTCGGCCCGCCGGCTGGGCGAGGTTCTTTGTTTGCTCCGCTCTTTCCCAGGACCTGTCGGTGCTTCCCAGGGAGCGCTCCTGGCTTTGATTATATACTTAGCTGCGGGATGCTTCGTGTCTCTCCCCCTTGCTGGCCCATGCACGTCACAGAAGCAGGCCTCTGTCCCTTTGCTCACCTCTCCCTTCCCAGCAGGGCCTCGGCAGTCCGGTGCAGGAAGGACTCTTCGTTGACGGTTATTTCACATTGACTCTGTGCTGAGCACGCTGTGTGCTTGCACGCCCGTGGCAAACCCTCCGGAGCCAAGGAGGCAGGTGTACACTCTTCCCTGCCCAACGGGTGGAGACGCCCAGGGATCTCGCAGAGGAGCTGGGTGACAAACCATAAAGCCACCCTGCCTCTTTAGCTGAATCCTCGCCTCAGCCACGGGGAGGATTAAGGATAAGAAAACAGAGGCTCAGGGAAATGAGGTCCCCTGTCCAAGGTCACGCTGCTGGTTGGCAGGTCCCTGGACTGGAAACATCAGTGTTCTCGATGCTGAGCATTTTGGGGGGCACCCAGCAAACCTTTGGCTGAGTGGGATCGAATTCATTTGGTCAGGGAATCCAGCAGCTCGGTTGACGCCGAGCTTGTGTGTGAGTGCCGCTGGGTCCCGTGCCAGCTGGACGGCTTCTGGGGAGATCTGATGGCTCAGATGTCCTGCTGATGGGCGGGCTTGGCAGCTCTGTCCCTGCCGCCCCCCCTGGGCCTGGGCCGGGTTTCCTCCGAGGGAGGCGCCCACGTGGGTGTTCTAGGACATGCTGAGCTTCCTCTCCAGCCAAGGCAGCCGCCTTCTCGTCCACGTCCCTGAGTCCCAGGGACGGCCCCACGCTGGTGGAGATGGCAGTGAGAGTCGTCTAGGTCTCCCCCTGGCCCAGGAAAGTGTCCTTTGTGACCTGGGACGGGCAGATGACAAAGGCACTTCCCTGCCGTCTTCCAGCACCTGCTGGGCTTCTCTCAGCAGCACGTGGAAAAATCCAAGGGGAAGGAGCCGTTTCCCGTGGGCCCTAGTATCCGCCTGCACTGGTGTTTGAATCCTTACAATTGTTCTTAGACAGGGAGGCAGTCGGGGCCGTGGTCTTCCCGTTGAAACCGAGGCTCAGAGACGGAGTGTCGTGTCTAAGTTGCGCAGCCAGAGGAAGGGCAGGGCTGGGAGCCGGGCCTGACAGGCGTCTCCCAGGCCCCTGTCTGTGAACTCTTGGGTTCGTGTGCAGAGCGTTGTCTGTGGGGCTGGGCGTTGTTCGTGGGGCCGGGCTCGTTGGAGCTGATCACCCAGATGGCCGAGTATCTAGTGTCCTTCCTTGAGTCGTGGAAAGATCTTGTGTTGCTTTACTATTAATTCCTGAGAAGCTGTGTTTAAATAACACCTGCTTTTGAAAATGGAGCCTGGCCAGCGTGGCTCCATGGGTTGGAGCGTTGTGCCATATACCGAGAGGTTGACGGTTCGATCCCCGGTGGGACTAACATACAAAAAGGCAACCAGTTGATGTTTCTTTCTCACTCCCTCTCTTCCTCTCTATCTAAAAGCAATGAAAAAAACTGTCCTCAGGTGAAGATAAAAAAAGCGAGAGTGGTGTCTGATTTTTGAAATATGCCATGTGACTCACTAGTGCAGGAAGTTGCAGGAAGTCTGTGGTCGACCCTCGTTGTTACGGTTGGAGTTTGTTGAGCGAGTTGTCTGAGAGCCAGACTGGCCGGGGCGGCAGCTGGGGCTCGGGAGCTCCGAGGGGACCTCGGCCAGCCTCATGTGTAAGGAGCACCAGCTTCATTCGGGACTGGGCTCAGGTTAGAATTCTGGTTCTGTCACTTGTCGGTTGTGGTTAAACCCAAAGGCACTGGGTTGGGTTCCTGCTTCCACCACTGGCTTGCTGTGTGGCCTTGCACCAGTCGTTGAACCTCTCTGAACCTCAGTATTCTTGCTGTGAATGGGATAGAGAAACCCGCCACACAGGTGAGGGTCAAACGAGATGGCGTGTGTAGAGTTTGGTGACATGTCTGTGAGTGTCCGATAGGCAGTGCCTCAGGGTTATCGCGGTTAATGTTAACACGGACTCTCTGAAGATCCCCCAGGCACTCACGGTGCGTGTTCTCTCTCTTGCTTCCCTTCGCCCCTGCCAGGTAGAGCTGCATGTCCACCTCGACGGATCCATCAAACCCGAAACCATCTTATACTATGGAAGGTACGTCCACGGATAAGAGGCCTTCCCTCCCCGGGTCTGGGCAGGGTCTCCAGTGTGAGGACCTGGGAGAACCCGGGGCTGCTGCTCCTTCCCTCCCCCATGCGATCCAGCCAGCCCCGGCCAGAGGGGCGGGTGTCCGAGCTGGGGACCCACAGCCCGTGCCTTCCGCCTTGGGTACCTTTGCCTCTTGTCTTTCCACTCGCAGGTGAGCCAAGGGAAGTGTGCCTTACCTTACATGTGGAGACACATACACACACACACACACACACACACACACACACAGAAGCAGTTCCCAGGGCTGAGCCTGTCACTGTTTTCTGGCAGAGAACTGGCGGCAGATGACACACCCACACAGGACAGGGGGTGTTGCTGTCCGCATCTCACTGAGGAGAGAGCAGGTTCAGAGAGGTGAAGGCAGTTGCCCAAGGCCACACACAGCAAGTAAATGGCAGAGTCAAAAGTTGACAGGCCAGCTGACTGCCACAGCTTTTCCTATGTCACCATGGAGATGAGCTACTGCGAGCCTCGAAGGGGCTCCCTCTCTGGTCACAACTTAGCATCTTCCAAGTGAGACATGCTTCCTGCCTCAGCTCGTATGGATGCGGGTGGGCTGAGGGGTCCCCGGAGCCCCCAGTGAGGGAGGCCCATGCCTCCCTCCCCACACCCCCCACGGTGGCGGCCCCTCTCTTGGGGACAGCACCTATAGCTCAGGGACTTTCAAAGTGCAGTATATTTGGATTTAAATCCATACACAGCTTTCTCACTGTGCCTTTGGCCTCTGCAAGTTGAGGATAAGAATAAGGTCTTCCTCTGGCTGGTGCGGCTCAGTGGACTGAGCACCAGCCCGCAAACCAAAGGGTTACCGGTGTAATTCCCAGTCTTGAGCAGTCTCTACTAGAGACCCGGTCTGCAACCCAGGCTTGTGCCCAGACTGGGAATTGAACTGGCGACCCTTTGGTTCCCAGGCTGGCACTCAACCACTGAGCCACCAGCCAGAGCCACGTTGCTCCGTCTTGTCTCACATGCAGCAATCTTGCTCGAGGAAGCGGCTATTGATTTGCTATTTAATTACATAAGCATGTTCACATTTACTGCACGCCAACACACCTGGGTCAGCTTACTGATCCCTCATGACCACCGGTAAAGTAGATACTATCATTGTCCCTGTGTTACAGACACGGAGGACACTGAGTCACGATCGATGAAGTGACTTGTCTAGTGAGCACAGCTGAGACCGGGTCCCTGCCCTTGACCGGCACCCCTGCTGCTAGAGGTTTAGGCGAAGCGCCCCAGGGGAAACACTCAGCTTGGGACTCCAGGAAAGGCACTCCCTCATGGCAGGGTCATTAATCACAAGTAATGGCTCTGCTAAGCCAAGCCGCTCGGCTTATCTCCACCTGTCCCTCGCCTGTGCTGAGGGCCAGCCACTGATCAAGGCCCCGGTGATGCCATTTGGGTGGGTTATCGGGGGCCAAGATGGGATCTAATCGGGGTGCCTATTAAGGGGTCACAGAGCACTCACTAGCGCAGCAATGAGGCAGGAGTGCCAGGGCGGGGTGGACGGAAAGGAGCCATCGGTGCTGGGCGGCTGGTTGATCTTCCACTTCCCACGCCGCCTGGGAGTATCGGGGACAGTTTTGACCCTGGAGAGGCGGTGCTGGTGCCAGCTGGAGTTTGACCTCCGGCAGGCGAGGGGAGCAGGGAGTGGGTCGGATCAATATGGGCAGCCCTGGAGGACTCCCAGGTGGAGGTGGGCTGGGGCCAAACCCAGTGGCTCCTTTTCTGCCTCTGGGGCCTCCACTGCCTCGGTTGTCACCCATTTCTTCTTCCTGTGAGTCCGTCCTCTCCGGGGCCTGTTCCTGATTCTCTCCGTCTCCTTCTCGATGCCATCTGCTCTTTCTTCAAGGCACGTTCTGAATCTGGCTGTGCTCTCGTCCCTGTCACCACCCTGTCTGAGCCCCCGCCAGTCCCTCACTTAGACTGTTGCAACAGCCCCCTGACTGGTCTCCAGGTGTCCACTCCTGCCTCCCCCATCTACCGTCCCCACAATACTGTAGTCAGAACAGTTGTCTTAAAACATGGTTTGGTCCTGGCTGGTGTGGCTCAGTGGACTGAGCACGAGCCTGAGAACCAAAGAGTTGCTGGTTCAATTCCCAGCCAGGGCACATGCCTGGGTTGTGGGTTGGGTTTCCAGTAGGGGGCGCATGAGAGGCAACCACACATTGATGTCTTTCTCCCTCTTTTTTTCCCTCCCTTCCCCTCTTTCTAAAAATAAATCAATATATATTTTTTAATTTTTAAAAAAGACATGGTTGGATCAGCTCACTCCCTTGCTCAAACCCTCTCACGCGTCCCTCCCACTGACTCAGGGTCAAAGCCAACGTCTGCACATGGCCCTTAATATTCTCCAAAGCCTGAGGGAGATCTGTGACCTCTTCTGCTGCCCTTTGCTTAGTCCACACTGGGTGTTTCTCAAACATCCCAGACCTAAGAAACCCAGAAAGGGTGAGTAACTTGCCCAAGGTCACACAGCCTTTATCTCAGAGCTGGGATTCAGCCCCAGGCCATCCGGCCTCAGGGCATGCTGCCTTTCCCAGGACACATTAACAGCCTCACGTGGTCTCTGCACCTGCACAGAAAATGCTCCGAGTTTTACTGGCGAGGACGTGGAGGTCCTCCGAGGGGACAGGGGCTGCCCAGGGTGGTGTGGCACACACAGGAGGGGCATGGACTTCCAACCCCACCCGCTGAGTTCACCCTCCTGTCCGGGCTCTCTGTGGCCGGGGTCCTTATAGGTGCATTGCCCACCGTGGCAGGCAGAGGACAACGGGGACGGAGTTGGGCAACAGCCCCATCTCTGGTTTGCTGGGCAGATATAGAGGAGCCACGCTTGGAAATGTGGGGCCCGGGATGGGGAAGGGAAAGGAGACGCCCGCCTTCCTGGGGTGGGGGGTCAGACACACGCGTCTGTCTCGGCCGCTGCTGTCCATTCCCCGCCCGGCACACCCAGGGCTCTCGGAGACAGAGAGTCGGAACTGTGGGCCTCTGGACCCCGGGTGGAAATCCATGAAAGGAGATCTGGAAGAAAGTGTTCGGGAGGCAGCACCCCAATAAGTGGTAGTGGGGTCCAAGGCGAATGCGGCCCCTGAATCTGCCGATATGAGAGCCAGAGCCTTAGCGCCACCCCCTCTGCCTTCAGCCCACTGGCTCCCGGAAAGACATTCAAAACGCAGTGTGGGGCGGGCTGGCCGGCAGCGGGGAGAAGGCTCAGTGCGCTCTGAGCACCTGACTTCGGGGTGACACTCATTGGGCGCTCACAGGGAGAGGGGCCACCCAGAGGGGAGGATGGCATATTTAGGGGGCTTCGGGGGAATAGCTTTTTAGGTAGGAAACCACTTTAATGTTTGAATAACAGGAGCCACTAAGGGACTTCAACACTGTTCCGTCCAACTTCCATTTCTTTGACAGTTTCCTCCTGTCATCTTGCTTTGTGGAAAACTGGATGCTTGAACCCCCTGACTTTTTAAAATTGAGTTTATTGGGGTGACATTGGTTAATAAAGCTGCAGGGGTGTCCGGCCCACGGCCCACAGGCCTTGTGCAGCCAAGGATGGCCGTGAATGTGGCCCCACACAAAATCGTAAATTGACCTAAAACTCGATGAGATTTTTTTTGTGTGATTACCTGTCACAAGGCATTTAATGTGTGGCTGGAGACAACTCTTCTTCGTCCAGCGTGGCCCAGAGACGCCAAAAGGTCGGACGTCCCTGCACGCGTACAGGTTTTGAGTATACAGCTCAATGAAGCGCCGTCCGCACCAAGATGCTCACCGCCCACGTGAGCCTCCTGGTTTCATCATCTGACCTTCTTCCCCGGTTGCTCCTGTTTGTTTTTAGAGGATTTTTATGAGTCCGAGTCCAACGGACGATGTGGCCGGGAAGCCAGGCCTCCAGTGCTCCCTGCTCCTTTATTTTCCTTTTAAGTCATGTTTGCCTTTTGTTCTGCTTGCTGACGGACTTTCTCGCCTTTGTTTTCCGTGCCTCTGGTTACGTCCTGATGGTTGCTGCCATGTTCCTTTAAATTCCCAACAGCTTTTTCTTACTCTCTAAACGCCCCCCTTTTAAGAAAGCAATGTCTCATTTCAAGGGTGTATTGTCTTTCATCTCCCTGCTCGTTTTAGGGTTAAAAGTTTTCTGCATTTTTTTTGTTTGTTTCCTCAGATCTCCTTTTTCGCTCATTCTATTCCTCAGGGTAGAAGTGTTTCTTGAGTGTCTGGTGTCCTTTACTGCCTCTTTTATCTTAAAAGTGGGGAAACTGCGGCCCAGTGTGCCCTGGGAGGCGGGGTCTGTGGCCGGCGGGCTGCGGAAGCAGAGATGCAGGCCTTACTGAGTGGTGACCGTGTCCAGCCCGTGGGGGGACTGTGGGCAGGGATGGGAGGGACTCAGGTCAACGACTGGCTCGCCGGCCCTCTCGCAGGGCGCTGGGCCGAACAAGCCCCTCTGAGAGAGAGCGGACGAGACAGAGAGCAGAGGAGCGGCAGGGCCAGTGCTTGTCCGGGCCGCCCCTGCCCTGTAGTATTGCCCCTGGTAGCCTCGGACCCGGCAGAGGACCAGGTGTGCCCACTTTCGGGGCACAGGCGGAAGTTGTGGGCTTGCTGCCCGGGCACCTTCCCTGTTCCAGGTGTGTGTGTGTGTGTGTGTGTGTGTGCGGGCACATGTCCACATACACAGGCTTTCACCCCTTGAAATCCACTGGCTGGTTGTGGCCTCAAGGACAGGAGGTGCTGGGAGAACTCTGCCCTTGGTTCTGTTTGCCCTGGACCTCAGTCTTCCCATCTGTCCAGTGGGTTGGGGTTGGATGGTGAGGTCCTCAGGTTTCCTGCTGTGGCCCCCGGGAGAGCTGGTCCAGTCCTCCCTGGGGGCAGTCTGTCACCTTCTTGTTTTGTCCCTAGGAGGAGGGGGGTCACCCTCCCAGCTAACACTGCCGAGGAACTACAGAACATCATCGGCATGGACAAGCCGATCAGCCTCCCCGCCTTCCTGGAAAAGTTCAACTACTACATGCCCGCCATTGCGTGAGTCCCCCACCCTCGGGCCCCGGGCAGCGTCCATCCCTGTGCCTGGGAGAGGCCACCAGCCCCAGGCCTGCCCCTCGGCCTGTGGGGCAGGAGACCCCAGGCTGCTTCTCACCATTCGTATACTTGCTTGACTCTCTCCGTGCGTTTGGGCCTCGATGTTCTCTTCTGGAAAGTGGGCGTGAGAGACAAATGCCTGCAGCTTCTACAGAGAAGTGGCGGCACAAGGGGGGTTAGGAACACAGACCCTCGTCTCCGGCTTTTTCATGGAATAACGTTGGGCAGAGTCCCTCTCTGGGCCTCAGCCCCCCTGTCTGGACCCTGGGCCATGGGGTCCCGTCCAGCTCCTGGAGTTTGGACTGGACACAGCACTGTCCTCAGCCAGCTGCCTCTCATTGTGCATGCAACTGCTGCCTCTATCGACAGCCAGGCGCTGGTGATCTGATGTCACTTTGCATCCCCTCTACTTTTTCACAGCAGAATATCCCCGATGTAGATGCATGTAACAGATGCACAGCTCACAGAACTACACTTTTCACAGTCGTCCGCAGGCCTGCAGGGTGGACTCAGTCCTCATTTCCTGTGGGGGGTGGGAATGAAGGGCCAGGGAAGTGAAGGCGCTTGCCTGCCGCGCCACAGCTGGCAGGTGATAGAGCCCAGATTCTCGCCCCGGTCCCACCTTGAGCTTTCTGGCAAGAGGCAGAGCTTCTGAGGACAGGCAACGATCAGCCTTGGCAGTCGGCGCCATGCGAGCTGAGGGTGGGGGTTGGGGGGAGCCAAAGGGGCTGCAGCCAGTCAGGAAGGGCTGCCTGGAGGAGGCAGTAAGGCCCCGGCTGTGGGATAGCAAGGGTGTGACATTGTCTAGAGGGGCAGGCCTGAGGAAAGGCTTGGAGGATGGGCCAAGCGTGGGTTGTTGGAGGATTGGCAAAGCAGGTGTGTGAGGCAGGTAGAGGTGTTGGCCGGATAAGCAGCAGAACAGGTACGAGGAGTCCTGGGGAGGGAAGATGGGTGGCCAGGTGGCTGACTTCATGCTGGAAGCTTTCGGGCTCAGCCCGGAAGGCACTGACTGTTCCAGGGTTTGCCTCCGGTAAGCAGACACATGTCGCCTTGCTGGAGACACGTGCTGCGTTTCCCAAGACCCCGCCCCCTGCTCCCTCCCCGCCCAGAACACACGAGCAGGCCTGGACACCTCTGCCACGCCACCTGGAGGCAGCTCCCGTCTCTCTGGCCCCATGACAGAAGAGGCCCAGCTCCCTGAAGGCCAAACTCATCCAGGCCACTAAAGGCCGCCTCCTGCAGGGCTGCCTGGCCACTTGAGGCCATGGCCAAGAGCTCTGACTCTCCAGCCTCTTGCCTGCGCCCACAGGGGTCAGATGAGAGCCCTCATCGCCTGCCACTGGCCCCTAGGCTCACCCCTCTCCAGCTGCATCGGCCTCCTGTGGCACAGCGGGCACCACGCACAGCCTGGTCTCAGGTCCCCTGCGACTGCCGTTCCCTCTGCCTGGACCGCTGTTCCCGTGGATGCCCCGGGGCTGCCTCCCACGGCTCCCTCGCATCCCTGCTCAGATGTCACCTTCTCAGTGAGGCCCTGGGGACACTACTGAAAACTGCTGTCCCAGACCCCGCTCCCCACTGCTTTGTGTGTGTCCATGAAACTTCTCACCATCTGACCTACGATACAGCTTCCATTTTACTCACTTCCCTGTCTCTCTCGCTAGACTGTAAGTAGGCTCTGGGGGGCCAGGGAGTTTGTCCACCTCGTTTGCTGTATCCCCTGCGCCTGGGGCAGCGTCGGCCGCAGCCGTGGGGGAGATAAGGACCCCTGCCACCCGGGGCTCACCCCGTGCCCCAGGGGTTTCCCACAGCAGCTGCCCACCCTCCCCCTGGTTCTCAAAGGCACAGGCCCTCCCATGGGCCGCCTCCTTCACACACTGCTTTCTGGTCAGGGGTCCTTTTTCACCCTGCGTGGTGGAGACTCCCGGCTGAGGCCCGGTCCCTGTCCTCCGGTCGACACCCACGGCAGCCCCTGCAGGTTAACCTGCGCCCTGTTTCCCGGGCCAACACTCAGGAACAGCAGTCAAAACACCTGGAGCATTTGTCTGTTCTGCTCCGAGCACCGGCTCGGGCGAGTTTTATGAGGCTTCGCTCACTCACCTTCACGGTGACCCGTGGATGTGGGTGTCCGAGAAGGCGGCTAGCTGGGGTCGCGCGGCAGGTGAGCGTGGGAACCAGGGTTCGGGTCCGCGTCCCCGGCATCTCTCCCATCCCGTCCCGGGTCCCTTCGGACTCGCCCATTGGTGCCCTTCTCTCTCTCCGTTTTTTCTGGAGTGGGACTCACAGACAGCGGTGGCACGCGCTGGAGGGGCGCGGCTTGGGGTTCTGGCAACCGCACACGTTGGGAAGTGATTACCAAATCGAGCCGGTTCACTAATCCCTCGCCACACACACCGGCCACGTTTCTTGTGTGTGGCTAAGAACACTTACGCTCTACCCTCTTGGCACATTCCAACGAGACAGTTCAGTGTCACGTGCGGCCGCTGTGCTGTGTGATAATAAATCTCTAGAACTTACTCATCTCCCACAACTGAAACTCTGTGCCGTTGCTCCGACGCCTCCCCACCCCCTGCCTTCCCGTCTGCGGCAACCAGCGCCCGACCCTCTGCTTTTACAAGCTCCGCTGCTCTGGCTTCCGCGTGACATGTGCACGCGGCCACGCAGCGGTCGTCTCTCTCAGCCGGCTTCTTTCCGAGAGCGTCCTGCTTTCCAGAGTCGTTCACGCTGTGGACAGCAGCATTTCCTTCTTTAAGGCTGCTTGGTCTTTCTCTGTGGGAGATCATTTTTAAGATTTTACTTATTTGCCCTGGCTGGCGTAACTCAGTGGATTGAGCTCAGGCTGCGAACCAAAGTGTCGCAGGTTCGATTCCCAGTCGGGGCACATTCCTGGGTTGCAGGACATGGCCCCCAGCAACCACACATTGATGTTTCTCTCTCTCTCTTTCTCCCTTCCCTCTCTCTAAAAATGAATATTTTACTTATTCATTTATATTTTTAGAGAGAGGGAAAGGAGGGAGGAAGAGAGGGAGAGAAACATCAATGCATGAGAGAGAAACACGGGGCCCGGGCCTGCAACCCAGGAATGCGCCCTGACCGGGAATCAAACCAGCGACTTTTCGCCTGGCGGGCAGGACGCCGGTCCCGGTTGAAAGGTCTCTCTGTCTGCTCACCCGCTGGTGGGCGCCTGGGTGGTTTGCATGCCGGGGCTGCTATGAATAATGAACGAGCATGAACTTGCAGGCGCCTCTTGGAGATTCGGACGTCACCGCCGCTGGACGCGCACCCAGAAGTGGGACGGCTGGGCCCCAGGGCCCCCAGGGCTGTGTGTACCCATATGAGGAACCTTCCTGTCGCTTTCCACCATGGCTGCGCCCATTGCCAGTCCCACTGCCGGCGCCCAAGGGTCCCGTTTTCTCACTGACACCTGTCGTGGTGTGGCTTCTCTTTTCGGTAGCAGCCACCCTCACAGGTGCGAGGTGGCGTCTCACTGTGGTGTTGTACTTCCCTGATGATTAGAGAGGTTGAGCACCTTTTCTCGTGCCTGCTGGCCATTTGTATGTCTTTTGAGAAATGTCTAGTCAGGTCCTTTGCCTATTTTTTAATTAGGTAATTTGGTTTTGTTTGCTGTTGAGTTATGGGAGTTCTTTCTATATTTTGGAGATTAGCGCCTTAGATGTGTGATTTGCGAATATTTTTCTCCCATTCCGTAGTTACCTTTTCACTCTGGGGATGGTTTCCTTTGCTCTGCAAAAGGCTGTTTCGTTTGATGTGGTCCTGCTTGTCTGATTTTGCTTTTCTGGCCTGTGCGTGTCCTTTCCTCTCGTTTCTCGTCCCTGCTGGCCTGCACCCATCACTCAACACACTCCAAGTGGCCGCTATGTCCTAGGTTCTGTCCTTGGCCATCTTTGAGCTGTGACAAGACAGATGGAGGGGTCCTTGTCCTACGGTGACTGCATTCTAGGCGGCGAGGTGAAAATTGGCCAGTGAACCATGTGGCGTGGAATGTCAGAGGGTAATAAGGGCCATGGGGAAAAGTAAAGTCCAGAAGGGGTGGAGAGTGACAGAGGGGCCCTGGCCAATGTGGCTCGTTTGGTTGGGCATCGTCCTGCATGCCAAAAGGTCTCTGGTTCCATTCCCGGTCGGGGCACATATCTACGTTGCAGGCTCCAAGTTCCGTCCCTGGCTGGGTTGCTTGCAGAAGGCAACCAATTGATGTTTCTCTCTTCCATAGATATTTCTCTCCCTCTCTTCTTCCCTTCCCTTCTCCCTAAAATACAGTAAAATTACAAAATCCAGAGGGAGAAGGGACATGGGGCGATCTTGGGGAGCTGCACATGCAAAGGCCCGGATGTGGGAACAAGCTGAACCGCCAGCCTCTGACGGGCTCGCAGAACGTGTGAGGGGGGCGGAGCCGGGGCAGGTGGCAGGGGGCGGGGTATACAGGCCATGTGGGCCAGGCAAGGGAGTTGGGATTTCATTCCACATGATGGAAGCCATGGGGGTTCAGAGCAGAGGAGCCATATGCTTGGATTTAGGTTTGGAAAAGATTGCTCTGGCTGCCACGAGGAAAATAGTTACCAGGAGGCGGTGGAGACACGGAGGCCAGTGAGAGAGAGGAGGTGGTGAGAACTGGGGCGGAGGGGACAAGAAGCGGCCTGCAGTCTGGAAGCAGAGCTGACAGGACTGGCCGAGTGTCTGGGATCTTCTCCGGTGGAGGCCCAGAGCCGGGCCCCGGAGGCTAGGGGGCTGAAGAGCAGGAGTGGGTTTGATCTTCCAGGGGCTGGGGACAGGCTTGTTGTCCCTGGAGCTCTGAAGGGACCTCGGAGGAGGCGGTCCCAAGTACTCTCTTCCCGTCCCAGGGGCTGCCGGGAGGCCGTCAAGAGGATCGCCTACGAGTTTGTTGAGATGAAGGCCAAGGAGGGCGTGGTGTACGTGGAGGTGCGCTACAGCCCGCACCTGCTGGCCAACTCGAAAGTGGTGCCGATCCCCTGGAACCAGGCTGAGTGAGTGGCCGACCCCCTGGAGGGCGGGGCGGCCGGGACAGGGGGGCCCAGCCTGGGACCCGGGGGGGCAGACTGTTGGGAGGCCCTGGTCCAAGACGACTTTGACCTTGCCCCGTGATCTGGTCTGTGGCCTCGGAAAGATGGGCTTATCCGGCCTGAGAGACAGGGTGCCCGTCCCTCACACGTCCGTTTTTACCTTGGGAGAAAGCGTTTGGCTGTGTCTTGTCACCCCTAGTCCTAGACACAGGCCTGCAGCCTCGAAACACGGCTGTCCAGTGGCTTCCAGGGGTCCTGCTCTAACCCCGGAACGGAAACGAGTCTGGCCCATTCCTGTCCCCTGCTGGGACCCCAGGGATCTCTAAGTGGTGTCACCCAGCCACTTTGCCCCTCCTAGCCACGACTCCGATGCTCGTAAACAAGTGGGAATTGGGCCAGGTGAGCGTAGCTGTGCCCTCCACCTGGGGCGGGGCTGTGTCTGACACGGGCACCCCCCTGTCCACACCCCCAACAGGGACACCTGTACCCCCCCACCCCCACAGGGACATTCTCCAGGTCTGGAAGTGCCCAGGCAACCCCAAGGAAGCTGGGAGGGTGTGTGCTAGAGCTTGGCCATCTCCCTCAGTCTTGTCTCAGAGGTGGTGGGGAGAGGCTTCTGGAAGATTCCTCTTCTTCCCCTCCCTCCCCTCCCCCACTCTCCTCCTCTTCTTCCTCCTCTGTCCCAGACCCAGTGTGGTCCTTTAGCCCTTGCCTTGTCTCAGGCCCATCCCTCCTGCTCTCTCCACACAGAGGGGACCTCACCCCGGACGAGGTGGTGGAGCTGGTGAGCCAAGGCCTGCAGGAGGGAGAGCGCGACTTCAAGGTGAAGGTGCGCTCCATCCTGTGCTGCATGCGCCACCAGTCCGGTGAGTGCGACCTCGGCCCTCCCCTGGGCTGCACACATATCTGACAGTGACCCCAACCTCCTGCCCTGGTGCTGGGGCTGCCCCTGGTGTCCGCTTCGAGTCCATCAGCTGGACCTTCGGGCTTCCTGAAGTTATCAGAGCCCTGCCAGGCAGGCTCACAACTTCCTGGCAACAAAGGCTCCCCCCCCCGCCCCCCCCCTTCCGCCCGGAGACTGGGCCTGCAGCTGCAGGGCCTGTGGGAGGCTCCACACCCACGGAGCCTGACCATAAAGACCAAAGAAAACCATCTAAGGCAGGTTCTGAACAGCCCACAGCTCTCCCCCAGGTCCCGTGGGCCAGGCCCCGTCTGGTCTGCCCGCTGGAGTCTGAGGGGTCTCCCTAGTGACTGACTGCGGTCAACTCTTCAGGGCTGGGACTTCCAAAGGGCGGAGCTCCACTGTGTGACTTGGTCCCCTCTTAGGGCCTCGGATACACATTGCCGTGGGAGGTGGTGGCACTCGCCTCACTCTCCACTGTGAGGACGAGTGAGAACCACAGCAGAGGGCTAGTGCCCCCACCTGTCCGGCCTGCTGCACAGCGTGGCTTACGTGTATTTTCTCCAGGCCTTGCCGCAGCCTGGGAGCTACTGTCCTTGATCCTGTTTGAGGGATGAGGACGCTTCCATGAGGGAGGAAGGGAGGTGACGCCTCCTGCTCCTCCATCAGGGAGGCAGAAAGCTCAGATGTGAACCCAGAGCCATCCGGTTCCAAAGCCTGTGATTTTTTCCTTTTTTTTTTAAATGCTTTGTGATGACTTTCTCGGTTAAGCCCCTAGTATGTGAGCAGTATGTTTAGTGATGCCAGTGTGAGTTACGTGCTAGGTTTAAACGTTCAACTGTGTGGGCCTCCGTCTGCTCACCTGAGCGGGGAAGAGCCCCCCATGGCGGTTGGGGGGACAAATGAGACAACGGCCACGTGTTGTGCACCGAGCCAAGGCTCCGCCCTCAGTGCTTGACACACGGGATCTCGGCAAAGCCTCGCCATGACGCGGTGCGGTAGCTGGTGGTGGCCCCAGAGAGGAGGGGACACCGAGGCACTGGGGGGAGCGGACTGCCGGAGGCCATGCGGTCAGGCTGCGGAGGTCGGGGTTTGAAGACAGGACACTGGGCCTCTGTCTCACGCTAGCCTCGGGTGGGGGGTGAGGTAAGTGGGATGGGACAGCAAGCAGGCATTCTGGAAGGCTCTCTCCCCCGGCCGCCGCTGCTGACAGAGCCCTGGCGGGCATGTGACCCACAGACTGGTCCCCGGAGGTGGTGGAGCTGTGTAAGAAGTACCGGTACCAGACCGTGGTGGGCATCGATCTGGCTGGAGATGAGACCATCCAAGGAAGCAGCCTCTTCCCAGGACACCTGAAGGCCTACGAGGTGGGCACTGTGGGAGGAGGGCAGGGAGACGTCACAGGGACTGGGGAGTGTGAGGCCTCCCGGGTCCCCAGATGGGTCCGGGGGGCTCTAGGGACTGTGAACTTGGTGTAAAGAAAAGGCCCTGCTTGCGGTGGGAGGCTGTCCGCCTGTGTCTGCTGCACGACCTTGGGCGGGTCTGTCCCTTCTCGGGCCTGTTGGGAGTGGCGGTCTCAGCTCTTCGTGGAAGGGCTTACGAGCGGGGGGCTCCGGAGAACAACCGCTCGGGCTCAGTGCTTGGCTTCCCACTTCCTGTTTGGCCTTGGTCACATTGCCTAACTTCCCCGAGCCTCGGTTTCCCCCAACTCCCTGCAAAGTAGGTAACAGTGAATGTGAGATGGCGGATGCAGAGCATTTTGTGCCGTGCCTGGCACACGCCTGTCCCACAGATGGCGGCTGTCACCCAAATCAGTGAAAAAGACCAGGCTTCCCCATCCCGAGGCAGCTGGCCTGACCGTGGGCGTGGTTCGGCCTGCGGAAACTCAGACCCAAAGCTCGGTGAAGGCAGGGCCTGCGGGGGGCTCCCCAAGGCCACGCACCACCTGGCTCTTGTCCTTTCAGGAGGCCGTGAGGAGCGGCATTCACCGCACGGTCCACGCCGGGGAGGTCGGCTCCGCAGAGGTGGTGAAAGAGGTACGGAGCCCCCAGGTGGACTGCAGGGCCCTCCTGCCCACCTCTGCCCTGCCCCTTCCTGAGCTCCCATCCGCTTCTCTGCAGGCTGTGGACAGGCTCAAGACAGAGAGGCTGGGACACGGCTACCACGCCCTGGACGATGAGACCCTTTACACCAAGCTGCGACAGGACAACATGCACTTCGAGGTGCCTGGGAGGGAGCACTGGGGGGTGGGGGAAACCAGGAGGGGCCTGGGGGCTGGAGTGGGGCAAGCTGTGGTGGGCGTGGGCGGTGGGCACCAGAGCTGCTCGGTGGTGGAGCAAGACTGGGATGGATGGGCTCCTGGGAATGAGCAGCAGGGAGGCCACGTGACCGCGGCCCGAGCAGGCGGCTCTGGCCCCGGGGCGTGGGGGGCGGGGCCCCGAGTGGCCTGGGGAAGTCCCTGCGAGCCGCACGCCTGCTCTTGCAGGTCTGCCCCTGGTCCAGCTACCTCACAGGCGCCTGGGAGTCGACCACGGAGCACCCGGTCATTCGGTGAGGCTCACTCCCGTGGGGTCCACTCAGTCTCGTACCAGGAGAGCCAGGGAGGGAGAAAATGCAGGGACTGGGCACCAGCCATATGGTCCTCATACGAAACCTGTGCAAATCCCTGCGAAACTGGCGTTACCCTCCCCTTACAAGCGGGGAAGCCGAAGCGCAGATGTGCTGTAACGCGACTGAAGAGCAGAGCTGGGGGCTGGAGCTCACTGAGCTGGACCGCAATGTCCTGCTGCCCAAGAGAAACTTCACCCTCCAGCCCCTGCCTCCTCGGAGTCCGGGAGATGAGTCTCCCCTGCTCACACGGTCTCTGCTCCTGGCACCTCTGGGCATGCCCCCGAGCACTGGCTGCAGGCTTTCCCCTGGGGGTCTGGCCCGTCCTCCCCTGCTCCCACCCCGCAGTCCAGGGCAGAGGCCTCTGGCCTGTGACTGAGCCCTGGGAGTGGCCTCAGGCCTCAGGCAGGCAACACTACCTTTCCTGACACAGGATGAGGACAGCAAGGACTCAGGGTGACCACGGTCAGGCTGGCACTGGTCTGTCATGCAAAGGGAGGGAGCTTGGGCTCTCACAAAGGGAGGGGAGCGTGCAGTGCCTGTGGTCAGTGCAGGTGGAGGTTCTGGAGGCGCACGGGCACACGGCCTGTGTGCTGGAGAGAAATCCCAGGGCCCCCTACACTGCCATGGTGGTGCTCAGAGGGAGAAGTGACCCAAGGGCGGTGTGGGAGCAGTCCACGGTGGCGTTCCGCACAACCCAGGGTGGGGAGAGCTGGGCGGGGAGAGCTGGGCAGGGCCCTCTGGACCGAACACCACGGCGAGTGCACAGAGCAGGGTGCAGCGGGAGTGAGGGCGATGGGGGAGGGTGCAGGCAACTCGCCCAGAACGTTGGCTGTGAAGGGACAGGCTAGAGAGGGGGGTGGCTGGAGGGGGCGTTGCTCGTGCGGCCTCTCTGGGCTGCCACTCTACCTGGCTCCCTTCCGCCTTCGCTGAGCTCTCGTCTGACTGGAGGGTTTGAGTCTTGAGTTGCCAGTTACAGGGCCTCGGACAAGTCGCCCAAGCTCTCTGAATGTGTTTCTCGCTCTGGATGAGATCTTCCAGGCGTGAGGAGGAGGATGCAGGGCCTGAAGGAGGCTGGTATGCAGTGTCTGTTCACGACAGAGTAAAGGGGGGCTCTTTCCCTTCCCCCCCTATCCAGACTCAAAAAGGATCAGGCGAACTACTCGCTGAACACGGACGACCCGCTCATCTTCAAGTCCACCCTGAACACCGATTACCAGATGACTAAGGACATGGGCTTCACTGAAGAGGAATTTAAGAGGCTGGTGAGTGGGTGTGGGCCCCGCTGGCCTGCACTCCGGGCCCTGGCGTGCGGGAGGACCTCTGGAGACGAGGAGTGAGTTTGCCTCACCAGGCCAGACCCGGAGCTAGGTGCCCTCCAGGCTGACGTGCTGACCCCGACCCAGGTGTTTCACCCTCTGCTTGCCCTCAGAGAACCTGGAAGTGTGGTCAGCTCTGAAGTTCTGCACCCACTTCCACGCCATTCACAGACCCCAGGCCGAGCCCTTGGTTTTCAGGTGTTCAGTTCCCCAGGCCCGTCTCTCTCTGGCCCCCGACATCCTGCCCTGCCTCTCAAAGTGTCTCCAGCTCTGAGAACACAGAGCCTCCCGGTCTCTGCTCCGGCAGCTGCTGTCACGTGACCTTGGACAAGTCCCTTCCCCTCTGAGCTTAACCGACCGCCCACCATGCAGGGAAGAGAGGGCTATCCCTAGATTGCCAGGCGCTCCCCCCCCCACCACCCCGCCGAGTTCTCTGGCTCCATGCCGTCTGCCCTTCTGGCCCTTCCAGAACATCAACGCGGCCAAGTCCAGTTTCCTCCCAGAAGGTGAGAAGAGGGCGCTCCTGGATCAGCTCTACGAAGCCTATGGGATGCCACCTTCGGCCTCCGCAGGTATGTCCCTGGCTGACCTTCCAGGCTGCTGACCAGCCCTGGCTCCAGCTAGGCTTTCCGGGCCACCTCGAGCAAGTTGCCCTCCCTTCCTCTCTCGGGCGACACTAGGGACAGCGGTGACTCCTTGGTCCCAGGGCCCTGGCTGGTGGCAGCCTTTCCCTGGACTGGTGTATTTTCTATATAAAAGCCACCTTCAGGCTGGTCTGGGGCATCTGCACGGCTGCCCAAAGCCAAGGGCAGGGAGCTGGGCCCAGGTCTTAGCTCTGTTCTTTCTGGTGTGGCCTTGGCAAGGCACTCCCCTGCCCTCAACCTCCGTCTCCCTTGGGGGCTCCTCTCTGGCTCTAATGTTCTGTGATTTCTTTTGAATGCCCTGGGTACTGAGTTGCCTGACCCCCTGCCTCTCTGACCTGGCCAGCAGGGCAGCATCTGTGAGGACGCGGCGGCCGCCTCGCTGAGCCCTCGTCCCGTGGATGGAGACTTCGCAGCTCTGGGGGACTGAACGGCACTCTTACCTTTACTCCTGGGAAGACTGTCATTTCCAAAGTCGGCTGCTGACGCTCTTGAGGCCTGCGTGCCCACGTCCATGCACACATATACCTCAGCACGGCCACGTCTCCCCCCGGCTCTGTGCCGGGCCGGGGCAAGTCTGAAACCCTCCTCCTGCGGTGACTCATACTGAAAAGCTGGTGCTTAATAAAGAAGCTGTCACACAGCACATGATATGTGGTCTTGGGCAGGACGACACGGGGGGTGGAGGGTGGGGGGTGGGGGGGAGGTGGGAACAGAAGGAGCCGCTGGGGCTCCCACACTCAGCAGCCTGCCCGGGGACAGGGCCCGAGAGCCCAGCAGGAGCCGTGGAGGGGGGGCCAGCGCTCCCCCACTGAGGGCGAGAGGGGCCCACAGCCTGGCCCCCCTGGAAGAAGCAAGGCTTCTCTTGAAGAGCCAGAGCCAGAGCCGGCTGCTTACACGCCCCCTGAACCCTCGATGCCTCTAGTCTAGGTTTTAAGGGGCAAACCTTCCTTCTGCGTTTCTGACACTGCAGACTGCGGAGAGAGAGGGAGAGAGGGAGGGAGAGAGCTCAGCCACCAGGCCTGGGAGCGGGGCTGGTTGCTGTGGGAGCCCCGGGCGGAGACAGAGCCCAGCTGACCAGCTGACTGTGGACTCGGGGGAACAAGGCCCAGCCCCCGCTTTTGCTGTTTAAAGGGGAAATAACCGTCTTAAACCAGTCACACAAATCATCGGCATTTATTTCCTGGGTCCCAGGTGTGATGCATCTTGGTAGAAAGAAAGGGCACGAAGTTGATCAGGTAGTTTGAGCACAAAAATCCCTTCCCGAAGAGCGGTCTGTGGAGCTCCCGGCGGGAGCCTCGGGGCGGCACAGACGCACAGGGCTTAGCTTAAAACGGCTTCCGAAAACCAAAAGTGAATTGATTGTCAGCTCCTTCCCTCTCTGCTGAAAAATGTTTAAAACTTTTTAAAAGTTTAAAAGCATTTTTTTACAAAAGAGATCAGACCCCCCCGACCTGGAAGGCCGGGTCTGGAGAGGAGGGGGCAGAGCCTGGCCCAGGCTGCCCGGGGTGGGGGTGGGGGGCCTTCCTGGGGGTGCTGCTCCCCCAGGCCAGCAGGGCCCGGCCCCCGAGTCCCAGTGCCCAACGAATAAATAACATCTTGGTGCTTTAGTGTCTTAGAGGTGTACCTGGGCACAGTGACGGGGTGGCAGCGGGGGCCAGTGGGGGTGGGCAGAGGGCCTTCCCAGGTCGGGGCCACAGTGGCCTCCGGGGTGCCTTTCGGTTTGGCCTTGTTTGCCTGGAACGTGGGCTCAGAGAAGAGGCTGTCGGCCAGTGCCGGCGCTCCTTGTCCCAGTGGGGACAGCAGGTCTCCCTTCCAGCCCCGCGGGCGAGGTCAGACTCAAGATGAGGTGGTCCCGTCGCTGCTGCTCTCGGGCTGGTTGCTGGCCTCCTTGTCTGGGGCGCTGGCCTCCGCCTGTCCTTCTGGAGGGAAGAGGAAGGGGAAGAGGGGCACACGCAGATGTGAAACGCAGGAGGAGATCTGGAAGGGCCCGAAGCGGCGACAGTGGGGGAGCCGGGGGACGCGCGGCAGGAGTGAATGGGGGTGGGGGGGCCGAAGGGAACTCCAGCCTGGCCTCTAACGCTCTAACACAAAGGAAACGCATGTGGTGTTACTGGTATAATTAATCAAGGCCAGGGCTCTGGATGGATGCTACCAGCAACAGGCCACGGGCTGCTGAGGGTCAAGATGCCTGTGCAGGTTCTCCAGCAGGAGAGGGCAAATGGGAGGCCCCACCACATGCCAGGCCTCGGCGCGCGGTCGTTCTCAGAGGACGTTCTCAGGCCAGCTCAGGGGAGCACCGGGGTGCGGCCTATGCCTGTTTCGCTGAGCGGTGTCCTCACCAGACCAGCCACACCGCAGCCCCAGCCTCTGTCTTCGCCCCCTTAGGCCGGGCCCTTCACATGACCGACCAGCACTGCCCTGGACCTCGCTCTGGGCAGCCCACACAGCAGCCTGGAGGGTGGTTGGGGGCACAAGCGAGGAAACCTGGGCACTGAGAAGCGAACTGGCCCGAGCTGAAGTGGTGGAGGGAGCCAGTGTCCTTTCTGTGAATTCCAGCTCCTGTCACGCAGCATTCTCGAGGCTTTAGAAAGGCCTCTCGTCGCCGGCACTGCCTCCCTGTGCCCTTGCGCTGCTGCCTTGGGAAGCGGGCGTGAGCAGTGGCAAGTGGTACGGGCAGAATCTGGACATCTGGCTCCCTGCCAGGCTACCTCCTGTCCTGGGTGGTAACTGCAGCAAAGGCTTGGTCCCAGAGGGTTCTTCTGGCCCCTCCAGAAGCCTGACAAACTGGACGGCACTTGGGGCAAATCCCTCAGCTGGCCGTCTATGGCGCCCTGCTTGGCACGGAGCTTCGGCCCGGCAAGCAGAAAGGATCTCGTCAGACTGCCCAGGATCTGTGCTCTGCCACCTCCTGGCTGTGGGGTCTCGGGCAGTTCACTGAATGTCTGAGCCTCTGTCTCCTGATCCATAACGTGAGGACGGTGACCCCTCTGACTGCCCAGGAGGGCTGTGCTGGGCCTGTGCGTGGCCATCTGACGCGTGGGAGGGTCTTAGCAATGGTGACGCTCCCTGTGGGCCGGTCCCAGCTCTCCTGGCCAGAGGAGAAGGTCCTGAAGCGCTTTCCTCACCAACCAGCACCCTCGGGCCTCCTGGGGCCAGTTTCAGAGCGCCAGCTGAAAGTGTTCTTGATCACACACTGCCTGGCAGGGTGCTGACCCCTTCACGCCTTGCTGCTGTTTCTCTCTCACTGTAAGGCCAAGCAAGGGAACGTTCGTGTCCCCGCATAAGCAAGCACCAGGGAAGGCAAGGGTTTGCACACAGCGTGCTGCGCATCAGCCTGCTGCGCATCAGCCTGCCGGGAAGCTTTAAGCACAGAGATTCCGAGCCAGGCCCGCGGACCCAGACCCTGTGGGCTCCCACTCCCTCGGTCGTCTGCGGGGCAGCACAGCCCGCAGGCCCGCTGGGGCAGCTCTCAGCACGAGGCCCGCCGGAGGAGGGCTCCTTGGCCGGTCTGGCCTGCACTCCACCCTGAGCGCCTCGATTCCTTGCAGTGAGCACTGTGCCTTTCTCAGGGCCCCTTCCGAGTGTCAGGCAGCCGCCCTGGCCAGGTGGCTCGGGTGGAGCAATGCCCTGTACACCAGAAAGGGTGTGGGTTTGATCCCCGGTTGGGGCACATACAGGTGGCAACCAATTGGTGTTTCTTCCATCGATAGTGTTTCTCTTTCTCGAAAACTCAATAAAAACATATCCTTGGGTGGGTGAGGGTTAAAAAAAAAGACTGCATGCAGCCAATGCGATCCAGATCGCTACAGGTCAGAGAGAGAACTTCTGCAGAAATGGCATGCCCCTTTGGACCCAGACGCTTCAGAGATTTCGAACTGGAGGGGAAACAGGTGTTGGAAGGGACTGGGTCCACGGACGAGGGGCTGCAGCTGCCGGCGCAGAGGGAGAGACAGTTCACCAGAGCTGAGGACACAGCAGCCCCGAGCACGAGCCCCCTGGCAGCATGCCCCGGCGGCAGCTGGTCTTTCGGCTGCAGAGAACGGCCACGGACCAGGCACCTCTACCGTGTTCCGAATGCTGCCAGGCACCGAGGACACAGGACTGATCCCGTGCAGAGAAGCTCACAGCCTAGAGAAGGGCGCTGGGCTCAGGGTGGTTCTGGGGGCAGGGCAAAGATGCGCCTCCCCTGCCCCAGGGGGATGCGGTCAGGGAGGCCTCGCAGCAGAGCAGTGGGGCTTCTGAGAATGAGCCGGGCAGGGGCGGGCAGGGAGAGCCAGACACAGGGCACAGTGTGCTCAGCCCTGCAAGGGGCTTTCAAGGAACAGAGGTGCTGCCCTGGCCGGTGTGGCTCGGTTGGGTGTCATCCCCAAAGCAAAAGGTCACCTGTTTGATTCCTGGTGGTTAGGTGCGCAGTTGTGCGGAACCAATAAGTAACGAATATATTTATATTTAAGTAAATATTAAAAAAGAGATAGAAGTGCTTTCCTCTGGCTGGATCAGAGGCACTGAGGGGGAAGGGCGAGGGGGGCCGGGGAGGTGAGCAGGGTGTCCATGGAGGCACCTGTGCCCAGGGGTGGGGGAGGGGCAGTGTGGGCTGCACGACTAGGAGGGCGAGCAGAACGAAGACAAAGACGGGGTGTGGGGCGGTGTGGTTCCTGGGGCGGGGTGCTGGGGGCAGCCCCGCTCTCATTCTGGGCTCACTTGTTGGTGACCCTGAGCAAGCCACCCAACTCCTCTGGGCCTATTTGTCCAGATAAGAAACATGATAGGCTTGGCTGCCGGTCCCCACAGAGTCTCCTCTGTTCTGTGGTCGGGAGGGGGAGAGGCAGGGGAGAAGGGGTGGTGGGGGATAGAAGGGGAGAGGGAGGGAGGAGGTCGGGGCCCCACAGGCAGCACAGAGGGGACCGCAGGTGCGGCTTTCTCCGATCACTCACTCAGCCTGTGGTTTCCACACACCTGCTCCTGCCGGCAGAACACAAGGCCCCGGCTCTCCTGGAGCTCGGATTTAAACCCAGGAGACCCCACCAGAGAGCCGAGGAGTCATGTGATTAGGGAGGGCCAATGACAGCCGCCCGGGAAAGCCCTCCTCAGCACCTGGTATCCGAGCCAGGGTGTGAGGCAGCAGCCACTAGGCTGCGGGCTGCGTTGGGCTGTGCCAGCGGGGAGTCAGGGGACCTGCCGAGTGCTGAAGGGGTTCTGACCTGCCCCCTCCAGTGCCAGCTCGCCCATGTCTCCGGCCAGCTTCCTCACGCTCACGGCCTCGGAGTCCCCCTGGATGTCAGGGACTGCGTTCCGACGGCCAGTCCGGTCACAGGAGATGAAGTCCGAGTAGGAGGACTCGACCTCCATCACGCCTGTCGCATCGCTCTTCAGGCCTGTGGGGACAAGGGCAGGAGGGCAGCAGGGGTGTCCAGGTGCATCCCGCAGGGAGGGCACGGCTCTGGCCCCCAGCACCGGAATGTTCCAACAGAATGGCAGTTACGGCCGTGACCACTGAAGACAGAGCAGAAAGCACAGAAAAGCTGCAAAGTGCACAATGTCCCTGAAATTTCACACCCAGAAAATCACTGATGTTTAAAGAACATCTTTGTCTTTGAGTCAAGTTATTATTGATAAATATCTCCACATCCCTCGCTATCACAT